TATTTATCTACAAAGAAGTGGCACGTGCGCCATAATCAAGAATAAATTCTCATAGTAATTTAATGTTTCTCTACATTTTAGAATATCTTCTTGAGCCGTATACAAGAGGAAAATCTTTTAGCATCAAGAGAGTACCGCTAAAGAATAGAATTTTTTTGGGGTGTTAGATTAAAAAAAGATAAAGCGAGTTGAACTTAAAATGAATTAACCGCGGATTGTGAAACCGGGCTGCAGGCAGGATTGATGGGATAGTGATTAGTTAAAAAGTTCAAAGTTAAATAATAAATAACTAAGTATCAGGAAAGACCGTGGAATGTTAACAACAATTGAGATCGAAAACCAATCAACGGTACAAAGCGGATCTTGGTGCTTCCATATAATATTAGTGTGAATCCTACAATTTTCGGTTTATATAACACCACGTGGCCGCAAATCGCGTGCTTCTCCGCAGCTCCGAACCGAAGCCACGTGGTGTTATATGAACCGAAAATTGTAAGATTCACACTAATATTATATGGAAGCACCAAGATCCACTTTGTACTGTGTGGCGTTTTTCAAACTCAATTGTTGTTAAATAATCCTCCTATCTAAAAAAAGTGTATGTAAAGTCGATAACTCGTATTTGTCGAAATTATTTCTTGTCGCTTTTCCGCGATGCGGCGATGCCGATTGATTGTCTCGCTGCGCTAATTTTGTGTAAGCGGCTGTGACATTGCATTTTGACAGTTGTATATATTGAGGTTGATGTTATTGTAAATTATAATAAGAAGTGTTAAATAGCGCGCGCGAAGCGCGCGTTTGTATAGTGCTGGTAAAGTTAAATAGTTAATGACTTGACTTTTAAAGTTAATTTTAAACGAGTTAACTATTAACTTCAACTAGTTATTTTTAAACATATATAAACTTTAACTCATTAACTTTGTTCTAAGTTAAAAATTTATTTAAAAGAAAAAACGTTTTCATACAAAGTCATTATTTTATATAAACTTAATTTACAAATAAAATATTAAATTTATTTGACCATATATATTGTAATTTTTTTATTTAGTGTAATCTTATTTTAAAAAATTACGACATTCTAATTTAATATAAATAAAGTTTTTTAAAATTAACTTTCAATTTAACTTTAGTTAATTCAATCTTAACGCAACTTTTAACTGAGTTAGTTTTTTTGTTCATGCAACTTTTAATTTAACTAAATTAATTTTATAAGTTATTAATTTTAATTTAATTTAGTCTAAAAGTAATATTAACTTACTGATCAATCCTAGTTGCAGGACAAAGAGATTCTTGGAGCTCTTTATCTTATATCTATAATCAACAGGCTTGAAAAATTTATCGTACGATAGAAAACAGATAAATGTAATACCTTAAGGCTGCCCAAAACTCGATCGGTTCAGCCGTTATTGAGAATTCGAAATCTCGCATTTGCAACTCGCGTGTTATAGAACTTGACACCAAGCCATTATCGTGTCTCTTGATACACGGAACGATCACGCGCATATATACTTTGGCACGAGACACTACCGTATCTTTTGATATGGTATGGATTCTGGGAATGTAGTGCTCCTTCACCGACCACTTCCTCGATCACTAAAGGCTGCGTTCGGTTCGCAGCTTAGCAAATACCACGAGCACGTGATTCTCTTACTGTTTCGATTTATTGTTTTGAAATATTATACCCCTGACAACCCTAAACAACAAGGATAAAGTGATATTGTGAGCGTTGTTAAAAGTGCCAAAGAGCGAACGCAGTTCTAATTGCTCAGAGTAATGCGGAAAAACGCGGACCCTACACGGTCAATAATACTGTCAACACCATCAACAAATACTGGCAATATATTATTCATCGTGTTAATATTGATGTACAATAATATTAACGGTGATCCAGATTTCTTGATTCTTAATTAAGTATCGATATCATTGATGACTGCGTTCTGTATTCACGCTTTTGGTACTTATAGCATTTACAGATCATTAAATTTTATCCTTTTGTTAATTTATTAAAATGTTAAACAAGGACAAATCATGCTCACAGCGCGTTAAAATGGAACGTGTGTAGTGAAAATGTTCTACATTAATCCATCAATATATTAACTACATGCGTTCAATAATATTGTCAGTATTTATTTTATATATACCTACTTGAATGCGCTTTACGACTAAAATCATGCAGGAGAGTTGATGGAGTGACTGGTGACGTCTCGACCGAGTTGAAAAAACACGTCTGTCTCCTTCAAGCTGCCAAACACGACTCGAATCACTGCGCGATGTTGTGACCCATAGCTATAGGAGATGGCTATGCGTCAAATTTATGGCATTTTTGATATATTATTTTGAGCATGCGCATACTTACATCGTATACATATACATATATACTTCGCAATCAGACGGACAGAATAGAAAATACAATGCATTTATTGTCTCTGTCTTGCAAAGAAAAGTATATAATCAAGGTACATAAGGTCTACGACAGTATTATATATATTGACCATGCTCAGGGACGGAGATTTCCTTATGGAGGGTATAGAGTTTCCCTCACTCAGAACTCCTGTGGATGTGAAATTCCACACCTATAATTCGAGGTATTTATATAAATATATATTTTAATTTTAGAAACATTTTAATAAAGCGTTGTAGATGTTTAAGAAATTTTGAGTGATTTGACAAAAAACAGTATTTGACCAAGGTACCCACGCAGCACGTTATGTACAACAAAAGAGATAAAATATTTGTGTTATTGAAACCATCCCCGTTTGGAGATAAGGTACTCCGTACTCAGAAAAGTCAAAAGTTTCCGTCTCTGATCATGCTACATGTAAGATCCGTATTATTCTGACCAATTAACAAATACTACAATCATGACTTTTGGCGTACCTCTAGTATGTACCATCAACGAGATTTTAATACTATTAAAACCATTAATACTATTAAAGACCGTCAATCCTGGGCAAATTTTCTTGACTGTACTCAAAAGAATCTGAGGAGCTCGAAAGTAATTAATATATTGAAGTGTATCGATATTCTCGATTATTGACATGAATTTATGATTCTTAATATTTCTTAACATAAATATTTGAATAATATAAGGTAAACCCGGTATTTACGCCGCAGAAGTCAGAAAAAATAGAAGTGAAACTAATTTTCTCGCAACTACTCTGTTACATACCTTTATATGTTATATTAGTAATTGTGTTGTGATTTTAGTTTTTTACTGTTAATATTTATAAAATTATTGTAATTTAAATCGATTTATCACTGTAATAAGTAGCGCAATCATAAGTTATAATCTACATAAAATGATTATTGTAGAAAATGTAAAAGGCTTTGTGGTATATAAGTGTAGAGAATTAGTAAAGGATAGAATATAGCAAAATACAAGTGCTTAGCTCTTGTATTCTTTGTTTAGTTTATTGTCTCATATATCCCATCTGTTTGGGATTATACGTTATTTTTAGCGCGCGGGATTTATGCCGTTGCACAGACGCTCTATTATTTATTTATAAATATTGTTACGCCCGAGGCGGTGAATATCGCGTTCACGCACTCGCTCGCGTAACGTTCGCGCTTCCGCACTCGCGCTCGCGCACGCGCACCGGAAGACCGCGGGGAAATGAAAGGAACACCAAATTAAGAACACAAAGAACACCCTCTTTATTGTAAATAAGAACAGAGAACGTGGCGAATAGACAGAGCAGAGCAAGGCACGTCCGCACGGCACGACGGCTTGACTCCAAATTTAATATGTCGTCCGTTTGACAGACGACAACGCGTCGTCAGGGAAACATCCGACAGCTGGACCGGCTCGTTGGTAC